ATCTATACCTGTAAAATGGGGAATAATGTAATAATCCAAAAAAGTCTACTGCAAGTATCACCAGCGATTTGAAAATTGGGCACGTAATATCCTTTTTTGTAAACAGCAGAATCAAAACAGAACAGTTTATGAACATTCTTTAGAGCTATTCGAAAAGGGGCGTAAAGTTCAAAGAATCGTAATATACGGTATCCGTTTGAAAACTCTATGTGGGGTCACTTTTGGAAGAAAAAATGAAGGCGGCTGTTCAAAACAATGGGAAGCTGGTGAATGTCGTAATAGAACAATAGAGCAGTAGGTTAACAACATTTGTCAGAACTACTGTTTACTGGTCGTTGCGCCTTTGTTTTCTGCTTTCTGTTTTCTGTTTTCTTCGTATTCTACTCAGTGGACAGCGTTGTTCCAGTGTGATTGTCCATAAAACCACTCCTAAGGCCACTCACCGAGCGGCGTACGAATTCTCAGTTTTCCCTCGTATTGTACGTATCGCCTCGCTGGCGGAACGCTTCTTGTATAATCTCATCGAGTGTTCATTACTAGTAAGTTATTCCGTCATAGTAGCTGCCTAGTAGTCGGAATTTCTGTGGAAATCTGTCTGTCTCGAAAGCAAAGGAATGACTTCCGCTGTCATCTCTAAGGATGACTTTTACTATCATCTTTTTCCCAATAACTTTTCAATTACTTCGTTCTTGGCCCCACTCTGGTGGCAACGGAGCGAGAACTTCAGAGACTATCGAGCGAAAACGTCTTTTTGCTGGCTAATTCGCCAATTTACCAATTCGCTCATACGGTTTCTCGTAACTTTGCCCTTTCCCTCTTTCAAGACTCATTTTCAGATGAATAATAAATCCCACCCACAGTGCCTTCCCATTCCCCTTCTGGGATTCCGTCTACAACTGCTGAAAAATGCATTAAACACGGCCCTTTCATCCTTCTTTCGAGACTTTGTTTGAAACTTTCGCCTGTTCTCGATGATGGCTGCCATTTCTTCGGCTGGTAGACTCAATGGAATCTGCCATTCTATAAAAATGCCCTACAGATAATAGGGGCCAATTTAATAAATTCGTTCGCAAATGCAAAGCAGAACTGACAGCTGAGGACATGTGCGATCTCTGCATTTACTTCGCTGTACTTTGATGTACTTTTCAAATATCGGACCTGTTCAGATGACCTATGACCATACATATTATGAATTTTTTTGACTGATAAGATGTACTTTGAGTAAGTTCATTCGAGTGATTGCCTTAAAAGCTGTCACAAAAGTCTCTAATGGATTCTGCTCCCTGGATGTACTCACCACATTTGCATTCCCTTAAGAATCGTAATGGTGTATTGAATGCCTGTGTGGCCTACACCATGATGACCAGCCTTCGTACAAGTAGTGCTTTTATCCTTCCAGATGAGTCTGGTACCAATTAACCGACCCCGGAGGGTGGCCTATTTGGCTCGATCGGATACCGATCAAAAACTATTGCTTACTTATTTAGATTTACTACGATTAGTGGGTTCGCAGCATTTAATTTCTGTAACAAAAGGTAAAAAACGAAATGGCAACAGAAAAGGAAATATCAATGGTTGCCCTGCTCAGATAAATTCGATAAGCCGCTACGCTATATGTCTTGGAATTCTTCTATCTGTTTCATCCTTTTTACTTCCCGTTCTGTTATTTTCCTACCTTTTACGCGACAGTTATAGAAAATTTATTCAAATTGCAGGTCTCTGAAGAGGTCACTCACATTCTACTGAATTCCTAATCACCTGCTCCTGAAAACTGTTTATTTTCACTTAATTGTTTACTTCCACTGCATTTCGTGTTCGGGTCACATAGAACTTGTTCAGTGGCAAAAACTGCTTGTTTCCAGCTCTTCTGAGCGATCTTCTTCTCCGAAATGTCGGCAATGACCCATGCTGAGAACGTGGAGAGGATGATAAAAAGTGAGCATTTCAATTCTTCTTTTAGCTACCCTTCACAGTTTATATTCCAAGGCAAAAACTTCTAAAGTGGCACCCTTCCAAAGTGAGCATTTCAATTCTTCTTTTAGCTACCCTTCACAGTTTATATTCCAAGGCAAAAAGTTCTAACAAATCTTCTTGGGAAAACAAAAGAGTGATAGGGCATCAAGTGAATTAATTGCCTGATTGAAGAAGAACAAAGCAAGTACAAATGTATACAACAGTTCCATGACGGATTTCACCAGCGTAATGTGGTACCCAGCGTTAAAGGTGATCGGGTTTTGTGAAGGAAACTGGTTTGCTTTTCGACCAGCGGCTACTTACTAAGCAGAAAAACATAGCAAAAAGGATGCGGGTGGGAAGGAAAATGGAAAGGGGTTTTCGAGGGAACCGACATCCAGAAAAGGTTTGAGATACCTCTGATGCAATGGTTAGGCTGGCGGCACCGTATATGTGTTTGTAACACGGAATATGTAGTGGACCTCCTACAAAAGGTACACAGCTCAAATCACTGACCCTGGGTGGGTCAGTGAATTGAGCTGTGTACCTTTTGTAGGAGGCTCACTAAACTTCTGAAATATTGAAGGAGCCGATATTATTCCACTGTGTTGCTGATTAGCAATGATTTAGCCCGATTAATTGAAAGTTTGTCTTTGAAGCTGCGGTCGACTTCCAGCAGCCCTTACGATTTCGCTGACTGTTATATATCAAAGCTTGCATTTGGGCGAGTACTCTGATGGACAGACATCCAGTCAGTCAGTCAGTCAGGAAGGCAGGCAGTTTATCTGGCTCAGAAAGACGTAGATATGTGGAAATACACGTGAATCGGGTTCTATCATTTACCCAGCAATCATTGCGAACTTCCTAATGGATGGCTTCAAATTAGGATTAGGTTAGGCTTACTGTGTTCATGGGTGAATACCAGCAATTGATCACCAATGTAAAGATCCTTGCTGAATTTTCATCCTAAATGGATATTACTGACCGTGTGGTATTGAACTCCTCAAACATACGCAAATTCAAGTGTTATTCAAATTCCGTATACCCACCGAATTCTTTTTCTTCAGTGCGGATGATCGTGTCGATGGGAGCCCTGTTGCCTGGTGTTGGATGCTATTTCTGTATCGCCTATACCTACGTCTTTCAATTTGATGTTATCGCCAACTTTTCCCAGAGTGATCAATGCCCAGGCGTTCAATCGTGAGTTCCGGAACTGATTTAAAAGGAGCAGTTGATTTGCTTCAGCATAGCGAGCAGTTTGACGAACGAAAACCCTCTCAGCTAGACTTAGTAAATCGAATCTATTGATGCCTCAGGAGGCGCCATTGCCTGCTTATCAGGTCCCCAGTGACCTCAGAACCTGGGATGGTCGTTCTAATCCCAGAAACTTCGGTCCTCTAGTGACAATCGTTAGGAGGATATCTTTTCCTTTCTCCTTACTTCACTCGACTTCCATGCAGAGNGGGGTGGGAGTGGGTGCTCCAACAGAAAGTTGACATTGACCCACTATCGGCCAAGTGTCATATTACGATAAAGACGGACGTGTCAGGATAACATAAAGTCTCAGTGCGTGATTGCCTATTCCAAGCGTGACCGGCATCTCTTGACCATACCTTTGAACCAGTGACGATCGTAATAAGCCAGAATCCGAGAGAGAAACAAGCACCCTCTTTGTACGAAATGATACGAAAAAGCTTTCAGGACCGTTGTCAAGGATGTTTTCAACATCGGTTCAGATTGTTTCAGGTTCAGCTTTGTAATTTCAGAATGCTCCCACCTGTCTCGTATGCTATCGGAGTTTGGGAACCTCAACGTTACTTTTGGCTGTTTATCATGTTTTTACACTGCCCACCAAGAATTTTCTTCCTCATTGTGAGTTTTTTTTTCAGATTCCATGCAGGTGGACCTGAACTTCTTTCAAATGCGCCAGGAAACCGATTCCAGTTATTCATGTGCCAGCCCCCAAGTCCTCTGCCGTTCTTTTCTCGAAAATTGGGCCCATAAATGCAGGCTGACCACTTTTTCAGCAGTTACCAACAAGATCTGGAACATGGGTCTTTGTCACATCTCAACGACTGTTCCATCGCTGCGTCCTCGATCCCTCCAATTCGTTGTTCCTCTGAATTCAGGCGGTCACGACGGGGCCCTTATTACGCAAGTTCTCCACGGAATTTTCTTAGGTGTCCCACATTATCCCACACGCCACCGTCAGGCCGTTCGAGCAGCCTGCATTAGGTTCTGGGTGGCACAAAGTAGAACGAGCCGAACTCCCAAAAAGCGGTTGAAGAGCTCGAGTTCTTGTAGGGTAATTTCGTTCTTGTCAGAGGAACCGTTGACTCCATTCTCTTCAATTGCCCAATACTGCAATCCGACTATTTTGAGTTTCCTCACAGTAATGAGGAACTTTTTCAGTTATATCGACGGGCATTTCGTAATGCTGCTCCGAAATCCGCATGCTATCGTCGAGTAATTTATTTCTACACAAAAACGATGTGGTCTGAATTGGTTGGTCTAATTGCAGTCAGCGTCCTCGACATCAAATGCAATTTTGGTGAGTCTTGGCCCTGACCGAACTGCTTTTTATGACAAATTCTTTTCACGAACCAAACAGGATCTCCTGAGAATGAAGGTAGAGGAAATGTCGTCAAATGAATATTAAACTCGGGGGAACATGCGTTCAAATCGTGAATGTGGTCTAGTATACCCCATCCTAGAGCGGAATAAATGTCCACTTTTGTTTTCGGGGATCTCCATTGGCTCTCAGGCAGTTCTGACTATGATCAGATTTTCCTTTCAGCTCCGATCAGCGATTCCTCATACGAATATAGCATTTTTGACAGCAAGCCTCTTTTGACGGCTTTTAAGCAACTGAAATTCCCTCGTTCTTCGGTGTCCCTTCAAGATCGCCTGCATTGAGTCGGATGAAGGCCTGAAACACCATTATATCTCCGATGACTGTTCTTGAATTCGAGAAGGTTCAACATTCAGACACGAGGGGTTCTCGCTTTTAAAACCAGATTATCTCAGCGAAGATGTATATTATGGCTCACTCAGGAAAACCAGGGGAACAGGAATCGGGGGCCGTAAGGTATGCTCTCCTGTTCGGGGCTGAGACGCCCCGATTCCGGTCTCTCTCTCTGCTCTTCTCGGAAGCAATTTTCTCTCTGCTTTCCCCGAGAGCATACCTTACAGGTAAGGGAACCCTCCCCTGTTCGGGGGAACATAGCTTACGGCCTCAGGGAGGTAAGAGAGGAACCGTGGCATTCTTTGGTATCTAGTTGTCTGTACATTTCCTATTGACCGTCTTTTCGGTAGGAGGAATTGTTATATTGTGTGAGTAATCCCTAATAAGAGCTGAAAGGATAATCTTATCATAGTCACAATTTGTGGCAAAACTTTGGCCTCGGAAAGGACTCGAACTCGTTCTTGTGCTTTCCGGAAATTTCGATCATGGTCAGTTCCGCGTTGCAACTTAACATGACAACGCTGATCCCGACTTACAGTTTCACTTTTGTGAATCGAATCATGTCATTGGAAATCANTAATGCTGTATTACTATCATCCCGACAGCTTGGATTGGATGGGGCATGTTACTTTGAGAACTTTTCGAACTGCAATTACGTGCAAAAAAGCTACACCGGCAGACGTATTGTCAAGACTCACTTTAGGGCTTATACCCTTTCAGGGTAACGAAACCGTTCATCTCCTCAGTCCTCAGAGTGGTACTGGAATCCTAGTACAGGAAAAATGTCCTTCACGAAAACGGAACTGATCAACGTCAAAAAACTTCATGTTGTATCTTTTCAATTAGAAAATGCTCAACTAGTTGTAGGATCAGTATTTGGATCATCGATTCTCCCATCTCACTTCGGTTCTCGAGCTGCTACCACATTTGATAAGGGTTTGATAACAGATCTGAACTCGGCTGAATAAACTAGCCAAGTATCAGCAGTATCAGTAGAGTAACTTGCGATTTTGTATGCAATTAGAGATCCTACGCCAACATCAAGAGCTGTATAGGTGTTCTTTCCCAAGCTAAAAGAGTGAATGAATTGACGCTTTTGTATTGGCGTTAAACTTGACTGCACGAACCGTTTAACTCAGAACTCCTACTAAAAAGGAAGTTAACAAGTTTCAATTTCAGTGATCCATGCAATCGCCTACTCGCTCTGGATCATCTCATTCAACTTCAATATGCTCTTCAACACAATTCTTCACCATTATGGAGGAATCCGTGAGACATCGCAAAAGGTATTCTTCAGTTTCTTATTTGCTCTTTGATTCAACTGGTCATATTGAACTAGAGTGTTTGAAAAAGAACCTCTGAAAGATCCGCAAAAGTACGGATGTTTTTTGGAAGGCTCTGGAAGCTTCCATGGAAATACTATATAGGAACACTACTTACTCATGTGCGCATAACACATACGCTTATTCCATGATATTGCAATCGGTTGACTAGACTGGAGTCTCACCTTCGGCCTTCACAATTCCAGTTTCCAGACATTAAAACGAAGGGTGCACAGAATTGTTCGAAGGGGTTTCAGAGGGG